AACATTTACACACGACACAAAACACGTTACGGACACGAAACATTTACTGATCAGTTACGACAACAGACGACGCTAACCCGACGGAGTTTAAGTCCAGAACTTAACTCTGGACTTAAACTCCGTCGGGTTAGCGTCGTCTGTTGTCGTAACTGATCAGTAAATGTTTCGTGTCCGTAACGTGTTTTGTGTCGTGTGTAAATGTTTATTTATTTTTACGTGTTAAATATGACGCTCTTCATATGAAGAAAGAAGATGTCCTTGTACCGCCTGATGATGACTCCACATAGGAGTCGAAACTAGTTGCAACTGCAATTAAATGGATTGCTTGATAGCAGGTATTTAAACCTTTTTAATATCCATACATCCATCCATCCAAACTTTCTCATTTATAATATTAGTAGGATTCAAACAATTAATCAGCTATCATTTTTCTATCCAGGACTGCCCCAGGACTGGATGTCAGGGTAGGGCTATATGTATGGCTTACCCAGCTCCTCTGTGTGTACCTAGTGGCAATTCTCCTACACCACCATCTAAAACAGGGCAGAAAGAGGTAATAGTTATCTAAATTCTCTTACCACTTAACTAGACAGCAAGACAGCGATGCACTTTGTCTATGTATTTTAAGCGGAAAGTGCACATGCATACAAGAGGTGTAAAACAGAGTGAAATATCCAAGGGCGCTTGCAGGAATTTTCTTAAGGCTGACAAACCAATCTTTTTCCAAGGGTCAGTGTAAAAGACCCTTCTCTAAAACATGTTAGCGTAAAACGCTTCCAAACATTAATCTTGAAGCATAGCAAATTTAAACTTAAGTTTTCCTAGGTGGGGCATGGTCCCGACTGGCTGGAGTGGAAATGGAGATGACCTTAACCATCTAATTGAATAATAGAGCTACAAAAATAATTTTTTGTAGGTATGATGGTTTTATGCACAATTTTAATAAACATATTGGTGTATTGTTGTGTTGTAGATATATAAACTGACAATGTTTTGACCAGGTGTGGGCGAACGGGGGGCAACATCAAGCAGGAGCCGTAAGTAACGCACAAGACAACTATGTCCGCATGGGAAGGCGGGGCTACCGGGAGAACCCCCCCGTGAAGCGACACCCCCGCCTACCCTGCGACGAGCACAGGAATCCCCGACGATAAAGTGGCACACTCCCTACACAATTACTACTCCAGCGCATCTTTTAACAGAAAAATTGTTCTACCCTTAGGTGAAACCAATATTCCTCAAGAACAATAAAAGTTAGAATGTATATTTTGACTATGTTTCATTTAATGTAAAAATGTATACTGGGATTTAAAAAAGGCCTTCTAGTCGACTACAAGAACAAGATACCTATACAGTACGAATTTGCTCCCCCTGAGTTTGGTGTTTGAAGCCTTTTAAATAAATGTTATTTGCATATATGTTTAGGGTGTTTACTTTGTATCAAACAAGTACCTCAAACTAGAAAGTATTGTTTTTTAATGGCAGACTAAAACTGGCTTGTACAGATACAATCCACTCATTACACATTGTTTGCCAAAATAAGTCCAGTTTACTTGGATAATGTGTTTAATTTCTGAAACAGTTTTGAGTAAAGAAGGTGGCTAGAAGTTTTAATTGGATCGACTGTAATAGGTTACGTGCCAGTAGCTAATGGCTAAACTCAAAATTGCCTCATCTCAACTTTACAATCGTAAACACCTAAAACAATTTTACTTCCAATTAAGCTTAACTTGATTTAAGGAATTGTTAATGAAAAAATTCTTGCAAACAATGTGAATGAAAGATATTAAAATAAATACTAACTATCTTTACCAGTATATAATCATACAGAGGTATAAAGTATTTTAAAACGTTTTTATTAGCTCTCTTTCTTGTCTGGTACAAATTTTGCAATCGATTTTAAACTAACTTTCAGATGAACTAGAGACTTGAAACGTGAAACATAGCTCACAAATGGATGACAATGCATTATTAAATAATTTTATTTTCATATTTCTCTTGGGCTACGCCATTGAATATGGCTACGCCCCATGGGCTTGTTTTTGTTAGCTCACTTTCTTGTCCGGTACAAATTTTTTACTTGATTTCCCCATGAGCTAGAGACCTGAAACTTAGCCCACAAATGGATGACAATGCAATATTATATCATTTTATTTTCATATTTCCTTTGGGATATGCCCCATGAGCTTCCAAAGTTTCTATGTTTACATTTTGGAAGAATGTAAATAGTCAAATATATTAATTTATTGAAGTCAGCTGTAAATACTTAAATTTGACAGGTCAAAGAGCAGAGGTTAAGAGGTATAGGTTCTGCTCCAATAATAAGGTCCTATAATAAGGTGTTGGTTATGTATTAACAGGTCTTATAAAATAGATTTAACATATTTACACATCAAAGACGACTAAAAAGTAAAAAATTATTTATAAATAATAAAAACACTTAAAAAAATACCACTTTTTAAACGTACTAAGGAAATCTATATCTATAAAAGAGGAACTATGTATGTGTGTGTGTGTGTATATATATATATATATATATATATATATATATGTATATACGTTATGGACTCCAAAACCGCTCGACAGATTGTAATGAAACTTTCAGGCATTATTAAGCATCTTTCAAGGATGGTTCGAGTGAAGTTTGGTGCAGATCTGTCAAAAGGGCTCTGCCCCAGAGGGTTTTAAGTGGGCCAATGTCAGACTTTTTGATCTACAATGTTTACAAATAAATATAACTAGTAAACACGTTGCTCGAAATCGAGCAATTGCAAAGAAGTAAAGTAGTTATTTAAAAACAAATAAAAGTCATCATAATTTCCAATGAGTTTAAAAGACTTAAAATAAATCACAGCAATTAAATTATACAGCTGATCAAAATGTAAACAATTATGTTCTTCATAAGGATAACATAGGAACTTTAACAGCAACTGGGGCAGAGCCCAAGGGACTTTTTCAAAAATGTAAGGTCAGTTTGCAAATCTACGCGACACGCTCTTTCCAATGAGACGTCAATGGATAAAATCGGTTTAGAAATGGTGGAGGAGTTCAACCGACAAAGTTTCATGTAGCGTATTAATTATATAGATTTAAAAGCAGATGTTTACTTTCACCAACTGCTTTGTAGGTTTGAATAATTACAACATTCTGTATTAGCATTAGTCATGATTTGAAATAGTGCCACAGTGTTTCTACAGAGTGCAGCACAGAAAACTATTTTACTTTTGAATAAGTCCAAATGTATTTAAACCCCAATCGCAGCACACCTGTGCACTTAACAACGTTTAAATTCTCCAATGTTAAATATTAAAACATAAAAACCTTTATCAAAGTATTATAAACAATAAAAGGGATGACTTTTTAAAATTTATGACAACAGCTAATTTGCAACCAAAAGGTGAGTGAGCGTAGCGAACGAACATCAACCTGGAGGCGAGTTAGCGTAGCGAACGAGCTAACCTGAAAACAAGTGAGCGCAGCGAACGAGCTCCAACCTAAAGGTGAGTGAGCGTAGCGAACGAACTTCAACCGGGACGTGATTGAGCCATGCGAATACTTATGAAGTTAAACGGGGCAAAGCCCGTGGGTACAGCTAGTAATTTATAAATATGTGGAGCAAAAATACTTGTAATATTTCAAACAAAAAAGGTTGGGTGCATGCAATAGATAATAATAGTTCAATAGGTAAAGAAAATTGAAATTATATTTATTTAAAAAGTGTTTTATTTATAAGTTACTAGTGTACATGTTGCTCGAATTCGAGCAATTGCAAAGTATTACAGGAGTTATTTCAAAACAAATAACAGTCATATTTACAATGAGTTTAAAAGAGTCAACTCTAAAGATTACCGGTGAGTAACTTAGACCATGTTTATATTTGTTATTGATAAACCTAAAGCATTCCGGCCGGTTTTCTCCTTCTCAAAATGCCTCGCTGTACAGGCAACACAGGTCATTGATAGAGGGCCAATTGAGAACAAAAAGTTGTTTTGGAGTAGTGTTAGGGTGCATTTGTATCCTAATAGTTGAGATTGTCCAGGGTCAGGTGCTGACTGTGATGAGTTAAAGCCTATTACGCGCCACTGTTCTGTAGCTGCGGTCGTTATCACGATTACGTCTCCTGCCTATGTTTCGCGTTGTCGTCGCGTCGGAGGCATTTAAAAGAAAGAAACAACAAATAAACAAATTATAGCTACACAAAACAACAATACATGCACAAATTAAAGTTACGATCAAGCTAACACAATCCGTCATAGCAACACAAAACAACGATAAATACACAAATTTAAGATACAACCATACTAACACCATCAAACTTGGGGGTTATGTTTTCACAAACTCAAATAGTAAATAAATGTACTCAATGCGTTTCGAATTGAAAAATAAATAACAGCAATTAAATTATACAGCTGATCAAAATGTAAACAATTAAGTTCTCCATAAGGATAACATGGGAACTTTCAAAGCCACTGGGGCAGAGCCCAAGGGAATTTTTCTAAAATGTAATGCCAGTTTGCAAATCTACGCGACACGCTCTTTCCAATGAGACGTCAATGGATAAAATCGGTTAAGAAATGGCGGAGGAGTTCAACCGACAAATAAGTTTCATGTAGCGTATTAATTATATAGATTTTAATACTTTCTTCCAATTTAGAGCTTCATTAAATGTTTAACTTCAGGTCTTATTATCATTGTTACCAGTCCCTCTTAAATACAAAATTATGAACAGCAGTAAATGATGTATTCAAACATTTATTGTTTCAAGGTGGAATTACTCATATCCACGATTAAAAAAAAAAACAGAAATATAAATTAATTAATAAATACAGAAATAATTTTTTTCTGGACTTTACAACATTAACCTCTTTAGTAGATTAGTAAAATTTGCTTCGATGGGTGTAACTTTTGGGACATTAACATCATACTCAACCGACAGAGTGACTTTTTGGAGGATTTTTTACTCCACCTTTAATTATCTGTGGTGGCGAAGCACGACTTTTCTATGGGAAAAATTCAAAAACGTCTCCTGCAAACTCATAAGAATCTTCCAAAGAATTATCGGATAAATCAGACGTGTTATCTTGTGATGTAAATTCATCTTCATTGGAAATTATTGAATGATCATCATTATCATCAATGAATTCATCAGTTCGATAGTGGCCTTTGTGTGGGGGAGGACGAGGCTTAGTTGGCTTATTCCCATACGATTTTCCTTGACTTCTAAGATATCCGTAATATGAAGGGTCATCATCGTCTCCTGTGAATACTGGTCCATGATGTGAAGGCTCATGCTCATCGTCTCCTGTGAATACTGGTCCATGATGTGAAGGCTCATGCTCATCGTCTCCTGTGAATACTGGTCCATGATGTGAAGGCTCATGCTCATCGTCTCCTGTGAATACTGGTCCATGATGTGAAGGCTTTTTATCTTGGGAAAATCCTACTTTCACCAGCCCCACAACTGCAAAAAAGGTTTTAGAATTGAATAATCAAAATCTTTAAAAATCAATTAGTAGAACTTTCGGCTTATAGATTATCCATAAACCTCATATTAATTGCTCTGGTGTGAGTCAAGGTAGTTTTACATTTTTTTTGTTTGTTTACCAACTAACCAAGTTAAGTATACAGGGTGACAATTAGTCTTAATTAGGACAAATTTATAACTTTAAAACAAAAAAAGATATCACAACCAAATTTTGCATATCATTACTGGTCATTAAGCTACTTTTTTGGGTACATGGTGATCGGATGTCACCTATGGGGGACGGCCCATAGGGAGTAAGTTAAAAACCCTTAAAGGTAAGCATAGGTTGACACATGCATAATACCATTGACTTTGTATAAAGTCAATGATAATACTAAAAGTCTTGTTGAACAAAAAACCATGCTGCAAACCAGATCTCAAAAGGACAATCGAGTAAAAATGACAGCTGTTCAAAGATTCATTGAATTTGTAATGCTACCTCCTCAGGCCCTCAAGACGAAAGAAAATCATAAACGTAAGCATAGGTCCTTTAAGTAAACATGACCTTTCTATTTGGTTTTAAAATTAGCTTGTCAAACATTTTACGAATATAAAAATATATCCATTACTTATAACCATTATAATACAACCATTATATATTATTATAACCATTACTGGACATAATAATCCTTTGAAATTGTTTTAACCTTATCCAAATGATAAATCTATGGAAGAGTATGTTTAATCAAAGTCTATATGATTTAATCTAAGAAAATACTAATTTGTCAACGTAACAGTGAAGTTTTGAATGATGTGATATTGTAAAATTGTTACTGTAAAAATTTACTTACGGACCACAGCGAACAATATACTTGAATATCTCATTGCCAATAATTATCACAATCTCAAAGATTTATTGATAATATAGCTTCCTTTAAGTAGTACAAAGTCAAAGACTTAATATCATCAAAAGTTAACTGTCAAAATTTATGATGCATATAGAACCAATAATATTTAATTAAAACCCATTATTTCAAGAAAACACAATTATGGTGATTGCATTGTTAGACTGAAAAATTGCGAGCATCATAAAACATTAATGGGTGCAGCAGTTAAATTACAAGATTTGACATTTTAGAGAATATGATTTGAAAGCTTGCACAATTGATTAAGCAACATAGCTTAAAACTGTACAGGGTGTTTTTTACACAACCCAAATCACAAGTATACCGAGAGACACTGTTACTATGGTGATTGTAAGCAACAATATGGCTTTTCGGAGTCTTTGTGAGTGTTTTTACTGTATTCGTGTTTGTAGAAACCACAAGAAACGTCTCCATGGGTGGTACATGAACCTAATTCAGGTTACATAAATAATAAAACACCAAGTTACAAAAAATTTTGTTTCTATTTATTTCAACAAAAACACTTTTGAAATATCAACAATTAAACCAAAAAGTCATTTATTACTACTCAAAGTCTGTTTGTAAGTTCATGGAATCGGAATGTAGCCTAATTGTTTTCAACATGATGACAGGTAGACATGTACCACTGGTGGTACACTGTTAGCAGAGGATAAATAATTACCTAATTATGTCTAATTATTCCTTTAAAAACACTTTGGTTTTCTTGTTTTCTTGAAAGTATGGTAATTTGAACACAAATTTACTTTTTACTGAAATTTCATTAGTGTGCCACCGGTGGCCACGTCAAGGGAATGTGTTAATAAATATGCATATGGAAATATCATTATTATAACAAATGTTTCAAGCACCTTGTTAATTTATAACACTATTATTGGATTTTACTATTTTATAACAATATAAAATCCTACAATTTTAACTTCAATATTTCTTAAAGTTTAAAAATATAAACCTATACACAGGTTTTTGCAGAGCTTGTTGTTTTAAACCTGCGTTCCTATGATTTTTTCTTCAATTAATTAAACTTCTTTTGAGGTGTTACTGGATAAAGTTATAGCGTTATAGGGACTTTGAAATTTTGTTATGGAAAATGGTCATTTTGAGAAAAACTATTGTGGGAATTTCAATTAAGCATAAAAACAGTTTTTTCGCATTTAAGAAACGGTTTTGGTATCAAAAGAAAGCTTATAGTGTCCTCTTTGGAGGCAATACCAATTTTTATCTTAACTCTAAATAATTGTTTTATCGAAGTGTGTCGTAAAAATCACATTTCAGAAAAGGGAGCTCTTGTCGGCCCTATTTTATTTCTCCGTAAGATCAAAAAAGATACCACTTGTCAGAACCGCAAAATTTGTGGGATATTTTGTTCTCCTTTAAACTGAACTTTGTTGTAGTTCTCTAAATTTACAGTAGAATGCAAGACAATTGATTTTTGGACTAAAGTCTGTTTATAAAGTGAATATTAGAAATGAGACCTCTTGTCGTTATGGCAAATTATCATTAAGCAACAAGAGGTAACTTTTCCAGACCGTGCAGAGGCTAACAAAATGTTTTATTTCGACCTTTTACATCTTCAATTAGGCCTATTTGATATTTTAACCAATACTGTCCTGTTTTATGTTAAATGAGATATAACAAACAATAAAAAAAAACAAATTTAATATTTTTGACCTTAATTACTTATATCAGCCGTAATGAAATTTTTTACTCACCAAGATGTCCCTTTTTGCTTTCCACATCACATTTACTTTTAAATTGCAACAATATTTATTTTCCTACATTAATTCACCTGACAAAGTGAATTACGATTTTTTTTTCGTTTTGAGGTCCCTAGAGGCCAAAAACACCATCCGTTCAAATTCATATATATATAGATAGATAGATTTATTTGATCATTAAACATTATACATAAAATGCAATAGATCATGTCAATAAAAAGTAGACAAGGTAATCAGAGAGATACATGCAATCAAGCTAATATATATACTGTATGTCTCCGTTAGCACGATAACTCGAGCAAAAATTATCCGATTTTGATGAAATTTGGTATAAACGTGAAAACCTACATTTATTTGAACGAGTTTGCGAACTAGCATTATCGGACTATTGAAACGGGGGTTTCCGGGGGTTTTATGAGGTAAAAATAGATTTTTCCATTTTTGACCCAAAAACATAAAATTAAGCAATTTCTTTCCAAACTATTTTGTAGAGCTTAAAAAAACAAATAATTTAGTATATTGAAGCGTTATTATGCGCCTAATGGTTACGGAGAAAATTCCACAAACATTTTGATTTAAAATTCTCATGTTATTCAAGGAGAACAAGTAAACTGTTGTACAGTAGTTTGCTTGTTTATGAAAATATTTTGATCAAATTTGGAAAATGTTTTTATTTCTTACTAACTATTAACATTTTACAAAAAAAAAAACAGTTTTACCCTCCCTGATGCAGCAAACCTAAGTATCTTAAATAATTGATAATTGATAATTTGATAATTGATTGTTAAACTAATTCTATTATAGGAAATAAACGTTATATTTTTAAGTAGACATTTTAGTGTAAATCCAATCAGGCAAATGGAAATTCGCTTAGTCTGCAGGTTTGCTGCGGGGGGGGGGGGGTGTGTACATTTAAGTATTTTTAGTTTGTATTTATGTTACATTTCTCTCGTGCAGAAAGTGCCACTTTGCCCACTAATTAAACAAATGCAATTCAATTTAAATTTATTTCCATTGGAGTTAATTATGTAGTCGCAATGAAATGGATAATATCTTTGACTATTAATAATGCGATACAGTAATATAATCTTGTAAATGGTTCAAATGTATAATGTAGGGAATTAAATCTTTAGAAAATGGGAACTGGGAAGTGGTCACACACTGTTTGGTTTGAACTTTGTACTGTGTACTCACTCACTCACTCAGCTTTGTTTATTTAAACGAAACTGAAAACTGAACTGATCAGCTGGTCTTCTTCCCAAACCCTACTCTAGTCAGTCAGTCAGTCCAGTCTATCTCTGTCTAACTCTGGCTTTCGTCTCCGTCTGTATTGTATTGCAAGTTGCAACGTCACATCCATATCTGTTTAGAATTAATTGTATCTGTCGGTTCTGTCAAAGTTTAGAGGTTACAAGAAACTTTGAAACTGTTATCATTTCCGGGACCAGTGGTCAGTCCGATTTCCGTACTTTTTATCACTAAGTCATACAGTATTTCTCTGTCCGTTAGAGTAGTTTCTTGTTGTATATTACTAAATATTAACTCATTAAAATGACTTCACTTACCAAAGGTATAACCCTACTTTTCATTTCAACTTCTAAATTTTAGATAATATTATTCTAAGGTATTTAGTTGTAATTATTTTCGGTAAAAAATTGTCAGGTTGTAATGCTATAACACTTTTTAACGTTAAGTAACTTAACCCTCCAAGTGTCCATAGTTTAGGCCTTAATGTCCACCTATTTTTGGCGCATTTGCAAGGTTTTATTAAAACGGATCTGAGAAGCTTAAAACAATGTTAATTCTAATGTTCTATATACCATTTTGTTTGGAACATCATGGGCTTCAATATTATATATAAAACATAAGAAACATTTAAAAAAAAAAAAAAAATTTAGGTAAACAAAATATAATTTCGAAAATTTTCAAAAAAAAAATAAGTTCGCGCTCAATGAAATTGTATCAATTATAGGCCTATAAATATTTGAAAATAGCCTCTTTGTTCTAAATTTTATGAGGATTACAAATATATAATAATATAAGGAAGTATATTTGCAAATAAATAAGTTATGGGCAAAAAACTGATTTCAGTACATAGCGTTTAGCTAAGAATGCATAGCCTAACCATAGCTAGGAATCTGGCTGATAATTTACATCAATATCACTACCTACTTCTTCAGGATCATCAACCAGCACTTCAAAACCACTTAAATCTTCTTATAATGCACCACGTATATCACTACTTTTGATTTTTAACACTAAAACAATGATAAACGTAATAAAACACATCAGTCATCGGTCCGGGGGAACCTAGCTGTTTACAAATACACGCACGTCAGCTGTCTGCTACAATATTTTCGGAACTAAAATGAATAGCGCTTAGAGACAGACCTCTGGAGAAAGCTTAGAATATTACAGAAAGAACGATACCTAACTCGATCCAGTTCAATCCGATTCAGTCAGTCATAGAGCCTTCGCCGTAAACGATGTCTGCGTGTCGAAAAATCGACAAGTAACACTACACAAAGTGTGCTGCTTGTCGAATTTTCGTCAAGTAACACTGGGAGGGTTAAGTTATTTTTTGGGCTGCACTCTACTTTAGGTCCTACACTCATTCAAATGAAAATATCGATCGATATATCGATTAATCGATTGTTTCATTCGATATATCGTTTGGTTAGTTAGGTAGGTAACGTTAACCTTACCTAACTAACCAAACAATAGGCTATATCGAATGAAACAATCGAATAAGCGCTGTTTTCATTCGAATGATTGTAGGACCTAAAGTAAAGTGCAGCCCTTAACTGGGCTATGCTAATATCGATTGAAACTATCGAATTGAAAATATTGATTAACATAAGGTAATGATCAATATTTTTAAATATATTTATTATCAAATTAAGCTATCATAACCTAACCTAACCAACCAAACTTGCTGATGGTGATAAAATCGCATGAAGGTTTACTAATCGAATCGATAGTTTGAATCGATATTAGCATAGCTCAGTTAAGAAACTGTACCCGTAAAATATTATTAAAACTAAAAAGCCTAGGCCTACTCAAGCGGAGCAAATCAACATCCATTAACAGATTTTAGGATCAACTAGGTTAGGCTTAAATTAAATGCTTAGGGTAGGCTACCTATCTAAATTCTTTAATACCAAGGCCTATCTTGTACTTAATTGCTTGCAACCAAAAATCAATTTCGATACTGAAGAAGTCTTCACTTTCAATTTTATGATGGGTTAGCCTCTGGATCAAGATAATGCAAATATAAAAAAGGTTTAATTTTCATGTTGTGTCAATTGATCCTTAAGTTATGAAATAACGGCCGTTTCGTGCTGCTAAGCGAGCACTTCCTCAGGTTGCATGAACGTTACAATACGGTCTTCTCATCCGTGGATGGAGTTGTCAACAGGTAAATTAAACCTTTTTTATATCTTCACTTTCAAACTTATAGCCTTCAACTATTATTAATAATCTAAAATGTATAACTTATTCATAGTTTTTTCTCCATTACAGGTATATTTATTGTAGCAGCCAAAAGAACTCCTTTTGGTACTTATGGAGGAAAATTTGTCAAGACAAGTGCTTTGGAACTACAAGAAGTTGCATCAAAGGCAGCGCTTACCTCTGGCAACATAAACCCTGAAATAGTCGACTCTGTAGTCATCGGAAATGTTCTAGGGGTAGTTATCAGTAATTTTACCTTCAAATTTGTTATTTGGTCCATAAAGTTCATATATAACAAAGCTAGGCCCGAATTTAACTAACCTTTTTTTACCAAACTTAACCAAACTGTTCTTAAAAATTACACTCAAGTAAATTGTAAATAGGCCTATTTAGAAATCTAAATAATAAATTAAGTAGGTTTTTAAGATTAATAGCCTAACTCTTAAGCTGGGTTCACTCTGAACAAACTTTCAACAAACAAAACAAAACAAAAGTACATATTCTGTCAGTCCAGTTTGAGCCGAGCTATAATTAACGAACATGTACAAATTGTGATGTGCAAAAGTGTAAGTTAGTTTGTAATGAGTTTGTGATGTACTATCGTTGTCGACTAGCTTGTTTAGCGGCAGCGTTCATGGTAATAAAGAAACCTCGTCCTCGGCTTTACAAAGAAGAAACGGAGTTCCGGAAAGATAAAAATATTCGCATAAATAAGTTAGGTACAAATCAAATTAAATACCTAGGTTACAGTTCCGGCACCTCATTTTTTTACAAATAGAGCACTGACAATAAGGGTAAGTGACTGCTTGGCTATTGACTTTACAGTGTTTTTTAGCTACAGGAGACTAAGATGATTCCTGATGTAGGCCTATTTATTCAAAATATATCTTCTTTACAATACATTGATGTACATCTCATCTACATGGACTAGATTTGGGAAGCGAGCTGAACTAGTGGAAAATCACGGGGCTTCGAATCCCGGGTTCAAATCCCGCCAATCACCAATGGATTTTAGATTTTATCTAATGCCGCAACCCTCTTAAACTAGAATGTGGAGCTGGTACATAAAAAAATTATAAAAAAAGTAAGGACACGATTTAGCCATTGTTTGGTTAAGTTAATAAAAAACATATTTGAGTGACCTACTCATAGAGTATGCTACACTAGAAACACTGTTTTCTCCGTTAATTGTTGGTGGATTAATATATTATAAAAGCTTATATAATTTTACAATAATGCTGTCCTATTAGTTTGGTTTGGATAAAACATTAAGATATTCAACATAAATCAGTAATTTACATCAGCACTCTTTTGATGGCTCAACTCAACTTCATTTTCATTCTTTCAACCTTTTCAGAACACCTCTCCGGACTCCATTTTTCTTCCTCGCCACGTGTTGCTGAGATGTGGAATCGCCATAGACAAGCCTGCACTTGGTGTGAACCGACTTTGCGGTTCAGGCTTCCAAGCTGTAGTCAATGGAGCTCAGGTAAAGAACTGATAGGCCTAATCCATTTATTATTCACAACAGTCTTTTACATATTTTACATTTTGTAACAGATAGCCCAATAAGATAAGGGTGAAGCTGTTGGAAATGTATTCTCCCCCTATTTTAAGCTTTTGTAAAATTACTTTTTCTTATGAAAGAAATACTACGGTATGCTAGACACTTGCTAGTACGGCAAATTCTGGACTTTAGCCTACCAGATTACCAGTGCCAGATAACCGAGTACCGGTACCCTAACGATAGCTGATATTGTCAACTCTGTTAATTTTGTATTATCATACCAAGCATAAAATATTTGACGTTTAAAAATGTGTTTCAGAATATTCTAGTGGGAGACTCCCACGTAGTTTTGACAGGAGGAGTAGACAACATGAGTCAAGCCCCTCACGCTGTGCGAAACATAAGGTAAGGTCTAGTAAATAAATATACCCTAATGTTTTGATGGTTGAACAAAAGTTAAACAATTTTCTGTGCTATGAACTGTACCGGTCAGAGTCAAAGTTTTTAAGGGTGTCCAATCACAAACAAATTAGGACATGTGGCTAGTCTAGTGGTTAGTGTCTTGGAGTTTGGTGTGAGAAAAACAGGTTACACCCCTGGCATATCCATAAAATTTAAGGGATTTGGACAGCTTTCTCTTAAAAGCATTTAACGTTCTCAAATAACTTAAGTCCATCTCCACTCAACCAATCAATCGGATCTTATTTTCTGATATTGAAAGACTTGGATGTCGCAGGTTTGGAGTGCCACTGGGCTCTTCGCCTGAGCTGGAAGACACCCTTTGGGTGGGACTAACAGACACGTACTGCAAGCTACCGATGGCTCTTACGGCTGAGAAATTGGCCGCACAGTTCAACATCACACGGGCAGAAGTGGACGAGTATGCACTTCGATCCCAGACATTGTGGAAGAAAGGTAAGATGTGTATCAATCATGTTTTGGAGGGACGATTTGGTCTCCAGTATACCCACAAAAATGTTTAGGTTTTTGGACAACTTTCTGTGAAAAGAATTTTAGATTATATAACACAAAAAGCAACTGGCATACACACTAAATATGCATGAATATATTATATAACTTTTCTCTACGATTCCAATATTTAATTTATTCCTTTTGTGACACTAGCCCACGACGCCGGGGTGTTCAAGTCTGAGTTGGCTCCGGTCACGGTGGTGCAGAAGAAGAAGGAGGTGGTTGTAGACATGGACGAACACCCCAAGCCGCAGACGACACTAGAGGTGCTCAACAAACTGCCGCTGGTCTTCAAGAAAGACGGAGTGGTGACTGCCGGAACTGCTTCTGTAAGTTTACTTTCTTACTGAAATGATTTCGTAATTTGTTTTTTAACTTCTTGACAGTTCCACCTTTTATTGCCTGTACAAATTGTGATTTTTAATCTAATTACCATCTAATCTGTCTGGACTTGGGGTTGTTTGATAAAATTTTCAAAAGCTAAATAAAGGTGATCTTAATATTTTCAAGCTATTTGTTAGTAATTTTAGTATAAAATTTAATTGGATGCCATTTTCAAATATATTTTTAATGATGATTTTTTTAATAGCTTATTGCTACTTCACATCGTATAGGTTACTGACTTTTATAAAGATATCTTTACAAGTTAAAGGTTTAAATAACAAATTACCAAACGACAGATATCTTGGAGCATACAACAGGGTGTTTTTTGGAAAAAAATGTTACTATACTCTACATACATCCTATGTATTCACTAATTTACATTGTTTTCCTCCCATTACTCTAGACTTCCACTCAGTAATGTCCCAGTGTTCCTAATCATCTTGTTTACTGTACAGATTAAGTCTGCTCATTTAGCCCAAGGTCAAAGGTTTGTTGTGTGATAGACAACAATTACAATGTACTTCTTGGTTATTTTACTTTCTTTTGTGTGTTTCATTGAATAACCTTAATCTTGACATAATTGTTTTTAGTAAACCTGCAATATAATATATTTTGCTTGAAAGCTGTTTTCTCTGAAGTATAACTCAGGTTTTATCATTATTTTATCTTTAATGAGAAATCTTAGATTAAAATAAGCTTAAATGCCTTAAACAGCACATCTTGAGCATTCATGGGACTCTTGATAATAGGTGCCCAGTTATGTAAATAATACCCCCGCCGCAGCAAATCTGCAGACTAAGCGAATTTCAACTTGTCTGATTACATTTTTATAGGGATGGACGAGATCGGATTTTTAGTTCAAGACGAGACGAGACAAGATTTTTTATTTCTCATAAAATTTCGAGACGAGATCGAGACGGGATTTCCCTTCTCATACACAACGGGAAATGCACGTTCAAAATGTTTACCTGATTTTGTAACATTGTTAGATGACTGTTTAAATACAAAAATAATGATAATAGGCAAGGATATTTACAATCTTTTATTAAAAAACATCAGCATAACATTTTTTTATTAATCACGCCTAACTTATTAAAAATGCCTACGATTAGGAAACATAGTGATATCAGTTAGGATAGAGTTCAACTTATCCTAAAATAAAATAAATCATAAAATAAAAGCAATATTAATTTTTATAAAATAGTTACATGTTTTGACTTTTTATAGTAGTAAAACATTCCTCACACTGCTTACACTTAACAAAACTTCTCAAATGTTATTAAAGTAATATTATTAAAATAATTAAAGTAATATTTACATTTAAAGATTTAATTAAATAAGAACGCCTTCGCAAAGAAAACGGAACTACAAAACGCTCCTGTATTGCGGGTATTGCATTGACTTTCTGCAGGCGTTTTTAATTTTTTTTTATTCTCGTCTCGATAAAAATCTCGGCCAAAAAGAAATCTCGTCTCGTGTAGTGAGATGTAAAATTTCCCGAAAATTTCTTGAAATTTCGAGACTTGACCATCCCTACATTTTTACTAAATTATTTCCATAAATAAGACATATTTATTTCCTATTTAGTATTTAAATAACATGAGATTTAATGAGTGCTTAGGTTTGCTGCTACGGGGAAGGTAAATAGTGATTTTTGGCCATACATCAATAGTATAGGATGAAATAAATAAATTTGCCAAATTTTATCAATAACTTATATATCCATGAACAAGTAAACTACAACAGTTTTCATTTTCTCCATAAGAATAACATAGGAATTTTTAATTAGGCCTACACTATTTTTGAATTTTGTCCGTGACTGTTAGGCATACAACAGCGCTTCAATATACTAAATTATTTATTTTTTAAGCTCTACGAAACGGTTTAGAAAGAAATTGCAATTTTTTTTGTTTTTATGGTCAAAAATGGGAAAACCCCCATTTTTACCCCATAAAACCCCCCATAAACCCCCGCTCCCATGGTCCAATTATGCTGGTTCGCGAACTCGTTCGAATAAACGTAGGTTTACACCTTTGTACCAAATTTTATCAAAATCAGATCATTTTTGTTTGAGTTATCGCGCTAATGGACACACATATTTATAAATACTAGCAGAGTACCCGTCCTTCGTACGGGGTTGGCATATAAGTTTAAAATGCTTATTGCAGTTATACTCAAGCTTTGCGTTTGCAATGGGGGAGGACAAAGTTTGATAAAATTTGCTTCTTTAAATTGACGGTATACTATGGTATTACACATCTACCAAAGCCATAATATTCTACCACTTCCCCTAAACAACAAAGACAAATAATAAATTATTACAAATTCGCAAAAAAATCACAAACTATTAATTCCTGACATTAAACACATAAACATAACTGTAAACAATCCTACTTTGACAGTTCTCATTGTGTATCACAGTTTTTTGTTGCTGCTTAGTTCAAATTAGCTGTTTACATAAATGCAAAAAAAATATACTACTGTATTACCCTGTTGGTAATTCTTATAACTTTTTAATGCTGTAGTATATCATAGAACCAACTTTTTTAGTTGAAACAGCTGACTAAATTCTTTAACCCTTTGAGTGCCAACGTCCGGGGAACCGGACGTTTTTAAAAAGAGCCAAAAGTGCCGACGTCCGGCCGATTGGACGTTTTTAGAACGAGCCAAAAGTGCCAACGTCCGGCTGACCGGACGTTTCGTAATGATCGAACAGTTGTCATAACAACCGAATGGATACTCGGATTCTTTTAACCCATATATTAACATTGAGTCGAAAGTTACTAGATGCGATACATCGATTTTCGTTGGTCGAAATATCGAAAATTCGATTTTTACGAAATTTTAACCTAAAAATCGCCAGATCGCGCTCGGCATTTTTAGCGCGACCTTCGGGAAAAATCATCGGCATTTTTTGAGCGTTACTTTTATTTCTCGCCTGGCACTCTAAGGGTTAATTCCCTCTAAATATGAATACTCATAAGGTTAACATGGGGAACTCCAGAGCCACTGGGGCAGAGCCCGAAAGGATTTTTGATATAAGAATATGCCTATATGTTAATCGGGAATGTGAGCTATCATTATGCCAAATATCAGCCCAATCCGTCAAGTGGTTTATGCGTGATTGAACTTCAAACACACAAATAAACAAACACACAAACTTTCCCATTTATAATATTAGTAAGATTCCCGGGTCCAGGTCTTATCATGAGTACTACGGTAATAGCTTATTCCCTATATAGGAAATTCGCTAAAAAGCATTATTGCACTATAATAAATTAAGCGATTGACAGAAAAAAATCTTAACTTCTGTAGTTGTTATATGCAATGAAAAATACACCTAAATCATGTAACAAACTGCTGATTTGTCTGTTTGATTTTCTGTATGTGTTCTTATTGACTGAATATTTTAAAATAGTTAAAATGAACAGTTGTTAACATTCTTTTGCTCAAATTTGTACTAGTTGATAGACCATTATTTGATTTCTTCCTCTACAAAAAATTGAAACGAATCATTACAAATTCAAAAAAAGGGTATTTCACTGCCAGTCCCAAAACTGGCCCATCTCGAGGGAAGATATTGGTTTACGAGCGAGGTGAGGCCGAGCACAGAAAACAAATATCAAACCCGTAATGGAACTTTTGTGACAAGTAGTGAACAATATTTTTCATCATAATTAAAATAAAGACAAAAAGCTTCTTTTTCTTAATTTTATTTAATAAAATATTATTCCATGGCCTAGACATTCTCTTCAAAGTTGTTAAATAGCATAAGCATAGTTTTACTATTTTTGCCGCTCAAGAATTGTAGATGCCTGCACAAAGCTTTAGCAGAGTGTAGCCATACATTTCGAGAGCGGTAATAAATGTTTGTGCTCGTAATACACACAAGATTTATTCTACCACCATAATTAGCTTATCATAACACACAGATAAACTTTTTAGCTGTATATAAAATGTCATTTAGGCCTAGGTATCTTTGATTTATTTTGGTTATTTTATTTGCTTACCAGTTGTTAACATACCAGCTCCGCGACTGTGGTTGGTGTAGAAGCCTACTGTGAAATCAGCTGAATTAGCGAGCGGAAATGAGCTATTTTGTGTACTGTTTACAAATGTGGCAATATGATCATTTCCATGCAGAAGTAAGAAAAATTAATTTTAGGACAGGTAAAATCATGTGTTTTGATAGATTTTAAATTTTAGGTAAAGCTCAGCTGTAAGAAATTATTAATATTTATTCAGGTTTTTTTTTATTGCTAATTTTTATTTTTACGTTTTATTTCCTCAAACCATTTTTTCAACTTGAACTTGAAACAAGTTTTGGTAAAAATCCCACAAAATATTTGCATTAAAACGTTAAGCATTTAACAAGCATATTTTTGCAGGGTATCTGTGACGGTGCCGGAGCCGTTGTGATCGCTAGTGAGCAGGCTGTGAAGCAACATAACCTAACTCCGCTGGCTCGTCTGGTTGGCTACTCAGTGGTGGGAGTGGAGCCGAGCATCATGGGTATCGGCCCGGCCCCCGCCATCACCAATGTGCTTAAGGCTGCAGGGAAAACTCTAAACGATGTTGATCTAGTCGAGGTAGGTGCTTGACAGCTATACAAGGTCTGTTCTGGATAAAAGTATTAGGTGTTAATTGGTGTGTGTTTTTTTTTATTTAAAAGTCAAAGACCACAGAAGCCACATCAAGCTAGACATTGTCACTGCATCGAGTTTAAAAAGCTATGTTATCATCAGAAATTTGCTATCAAGATTAGTAAAAACCATATTTTGGGATCTGGAATATTGATTCTCGATCAGGTGAAAAAGAGCCAAAAACATAACAAGGTTAGAATACAGACTCATCCAAAGCTGGGATATCACTAAAGAAAACCCGTACAGAGAGAGAGACTAACTGAAAAGTAGTCAAAACAGGAAAAAAACAAATCCTTTAACCCTTTCGATGCTAGAATATTTTTTTTGAGATTTTCCGGAAAATGCTATAGTTATTTACTTATTTCTTCCGAAAAATGCTAGGCTTGCCACAGGTACGAAGTCTAGTGTGCGAGAAAAAATCTGTAAAAATACAATTGTTCATCTGAAAAGTGCTAAGGAACGATATATCGAGCCTCGATCATATGAGGAATCGAAAGGAACCATTGCTGTTTCGAGTCTACAACCGAGTCAACCGATAAGCTTATTTAAACTCATATGATCGAAAGTTGTGCTGGCACGATAGATCGTCGCTTAGCGCTTTTGGGATGAAACGCGAACAACAATATACAACTATATATTACTTTTTTGCCTGAGAGAAAGTAGTTGGTAGATGTTCATTCTTCAGTTCTGACGTAGGAGTGGTGTTGGTCCTATGTTCTTCCAGCTCTTCTTGGTCACTGGTGTCTGTAAACTTTACCATCGTGATGCAACGTCAACTGTCAGTATCATAAACTGAGGGAGAAAATAAAATCTTTACTGCAGCACACTCTCATTTAGTGATTTTTTTTTAAATAATCTTTTTATTGTGGTAAAGCAACTAGCAATAGCATTGACAAGGTCATACAGTAAAGTCAGAGACACACTTAGGCAACATGTATTAGCAATAATAAAATAATTACTACGTTTGGTCCATGTAGATGGAATCAGGATCTACTTTAGTTACCAAAAACCAATTTTAGTGCTCGTGCAATTTTCTTTGAGCCCTGCAATCTGAAAATGTTGAATGTGTATGATATTCCAGATCAACGAGGCGTTTGGAGCTCAGACCCTGGCTTGCAGGAAGGAGCTCAACTTGGACATCAACAAGTTGAATGTCAACGGAGGAGCCATTGCGCTCGGTCACCCCCTGGCGGCTTCTGGCGCTAGGATTACTGCTCACCTGGTGCACGAACTCAGGTACAGTGAGAACTTAGATGTTATATCTTCACAATGTGTACGGACACAAAACCCCATACTGCACCTCTCCTTTTGAACATGATTGTTGGTTTTGCTTTTTGTAGCTGTTTGGCTATGGTATGAATATACAGTCGACTCCCTCTAATACGGATACAGTTGAACCTCGTTTGTACGAACCTCGATAAAACAAATTCCTCGATAAGACAAATTTTTTTTAATCCCCTTGACACTTTCATAGGTCAATGCTAAAAACACCTCTATACAACGTGGTAATTAAGTTAAAAACCTCCATAAGACGAATTTGTTTGTGACATGGACTAGGACTGATTAACCTCTATACAACGAATATTCTTTGCACAAAACCCCTACAAGACGAACGTGACCTCTATAAGATGAATTTATCATAATCTTAACCTCCATAGTATGTAGTTTTCAAAGCAAACAAAAGCTTGTCTCAATATGAAACCCCCACCCATCCCTCCTCCTTCCTCAGTCATTGTTTGGAGAAACCTTTGAGCGAGGAGAAACCTCTATAAGAAGAATAACAGCAGCATTAACCCTCGATAAAACGACCCTCTTTATTAAGAATACCTCTATAGTACGAATTTTTCCCGTACCCCTTGAAATTCGTCTTATAGAGGTTCAACTGTACCTCACGACGGACCTCCCTGTGGTGTTTCACATAAGCAAAGTATGACCTGTAATAGATGGTTATGTTATGCTTATAAATTACCACTAACGACGGTTTTAGAGCATACTTTCTCTAAAACTACATCAAGGTTCAATAGCGCACTGTGTTAATTACTAGTTATAGTTTAAACATTTTGAATAGAGAAGTTGAATAACCATTTGATCTGAGGAAAAATTCTGGTGTAGTAGCAGAAGGGGAGATACTTTTAAATTACAAATATTTTAAAGTAGTCTAGAACCTTTTTATACAGGGATCATGGTAGCTAAGTGATAGTATCTTGAAGTAATAAGCCGGAGTTTGCTGGTTCAAGCCTGCACTTTATCACTTCAGTCGCTATTGGCTTGCACCTGTGACCTGTATTGTAATAATACTTTACTAGTGGAACCCCGTCGAAATCGACGGTTAATCTTGATGTTTTATGTAAATTTAGCTAACTGCGATAGATAGAGTGAAGTTATTAAAATCTTAGTTAAATGAGGGAGGATAAGCATAATAATAAGTATGACGATTGTGTTCCCTAAAAAACGTGATTGATGAATTCGTTTAACACAATATTTCCTACCTTTTTATCGGCTTTAGGTTGCCCAAAAGGTTTTTTAGAAGTCTTATAAATGTTTGTTCATGAGTTTGTTTCATGTCAAAGTCACTTTCACTACATGGGAGAAGGGAGTTCATATAATTAGTCTATCATGTTACGGAAAGAGTCAATATTACTAACGACTAATTCCATCTGCTTTAGGAAAATCATTCAAATTGTATTCGGATTTATAAGTGAATCTTCATCTTTGGTTATAAACATACAGAAGTTTATTAGCATATTAAATCAGTTTTTTATTCGATAAAAATATCTGATTATCCAGAAAGCAGTAACATTCTTACTTCGATCCAAGCAATTTTAACTCCTTCTCTTGCCACATGGACCCATGTATTTAATCATCCTGTACTTACTTGCTAATTGATTAATTATGGGGTCGTTTTGACTTGGCCATATCGATTACATAAAGCTGTGCATGTATTTCGTGGATGGAATGAACTATAATTGTAGGCAATTTGACCACAAATCTTAAACATTTGCAGAACCAAATCCATAACCTAGTCCAGCCTTGGTACCTAACAAATTATGCAAATGCGATGAGATGTGATGGCACTGTTGTGTTTCAGAATTTGTTGTATGTAGTGAGGTTTAGAGGCGTTGTTCGACCTAGCTAGATGTGTACATCAAAGTAAAAATCCTGTACACATTTTTTTTAATACCTGAATTAGTGAATTGACATTAATTTACCTACCGTACTTCACCAAAACCATAGATGAAACATACTCCGTAAATAGCCTATTCCAAAACTTGAACACAGCTCTCATTCTCAATGTACTCATCTATAACACAATTTTCAACCCGATTATAGAAAACTTTAAAACCAATGAATGAATTTCTGGTCTTCTTTCTTGAATTCAATAATATTCTTGAACCTTACAATATGTATAAGCTAACCCGATAAGGAATAATTATATGTTCCTTTAAAACTGATATGTCAGAAAACTACAACATCCGAGGCTTCAACACTTGTGAAACGAAGAACATTATCTACCAACTACAATGTAACAAATGTGAGGCACAGTATGTAGGCCTATCCACCAATAGCCTCAGAACCAGGATGAATGGCCATAGACAAGATGTATCTACTGGATACAAAGACAAACCAGTTGTACAACATGCCCAGAGCCACAACAACCCTAGTTTCAATGACTGCTTTACAACCAAAATAGTCAAATCACTGCCCCCTCAATGTAACCAGTCACAACTGAGAAGATGGGAATTGTCTTATCAATGGTTTACTAAGTCTAGACAACCCCCAAACCTAAACCTGAGATAATACCTTTAATCTAACCCACTCCACTTCAATATCCAACCCAACTAGCAGGCTTAAATATTTATTCATATATATATATAGTGCATATAAGATAAACTGAAACTGTGTTTTTTGAATTCATACTATTGGCAACACTGACTCAACAACTCACTGGCCACCATTTTGGATTGGACATCTAGAAAACTATCTCTTCCTTAGTTGAAAATGCTGTCAGTGACAGTGAAATATTCTAATGTTTTGTGTATATAGTGTAAAGTTTTGTTTTGTGTTTCCTGTGCCAGTTTGGACTCTTTCCCATTCAGGTAAGCCTGCTATCCTCTCAAAAAATCCTAAAAAATCTAGGCCCTTGTGCTCTATGCTACACCCTTGATTTTAAAATTTAAAATTTTCTAAGAGCAATAAAGCATAGATTTTTTAACAAAACATTTCAAACGTATCATAAATTCATCATTTTGTTGAAACTATAAAAAACTTGCCATGCAGTGGAGAATCCATTTAAAATCATAAATAATAATGTAAACATTTAATTTTGACAGTTTCAGTAGACCTTTGAATACAATTTTAATATTAACAGCTGGTTCATTAAAAGTAGTGTAAAATTATCCACATGGTCGAAATGTAAACAAAATTGCAGAGTGAACTTTAAAGGCCTCTGGGGCAGAGCCCCAAGGAAATTTACATCGTTTCTCTTTTGAGGGCTCACCTACAGACCAATACCTTTCTTTAGACACCCCTACCAAGTTTCTACGCCCAGCCGTTCTCTCAAATTAGCTGTGACAAAAACCTCGTTTTCCTCCATAAGAATAACATGGGATAGGAATTTAAAGACCACTGGGGCAGAGCCCCGAGGGAATTCTCCATGTTTCTCTTTTGATGGCTCATCTACAGACCAGGACCTTTCTTTAGACACCTCTACCGAGTTTCTACGCCCAGTTGTTCTCTCAAAATAGCTGTCACAAAGAAAAACAGTTTCAAATTAATATATAGATTGTCTAAAGATGAATATATAAATCAGAAGTCTATGGTGACGGGACAGACCCTTCCATCCTCAGGAAAAACACGGACAAAAGCGCCTGAAGTCGGAACTGTCCCAACAGCATCAGGACGGGTGGCAACCGTGATGGTGAAGGACGGCTGTGGGTTTTTTTAAATTTTATAAAGTTGGTTTCCTTTTACTTTCTTGATGTTAGAAATTTCATTATGCTTGCTTAGTCATGTTTGGGTTTGTCAAATGTTTGAGTGAGCAGGGTTCAGGTTAGCGAGACTACTGTGTTATATTTTTACTCGTGGTCAATGTACTCTGTTAGCACTGAATTTTGTACACTCTACCTCTCCTCTGAAATCAATGTGTAAGAAAATAGGTTTACTAAACATTGAGTTCACATTACTTAACATTACTAAACATAAACATTTAAACGAATGTTGCAGGCGGAAGAAGCTCAAGCTGGGAGTGGGCTCGGCTTGTATCGGCGGAGGTCAGGGTATTGCTTTGCTCCTGGAAGCTGTCTAAAAATATCATAGCACATACTGGACAAGACTGATGAATTTATCATTGTTGTATCGTTATAAGCCTTATTGTTAAGTATTAAATGTCAATGATAAAAGCTAAGAAAGCACTCTACCTCAGTAAGCCTTCGAGATATGTGAGATGGATATTTTGTAGACCTGAATACTTCTTGCACAACTAATTGGTGCCTAGTTACTTTTTAAGTACATCCACTAAGTAAAAATATGATAAAAAGAAAATCTTTAAGAAATTTATATATATACAAAATTATTTAATAGTTACTTAGGCTACAAAATACCTATTGGTAGTGAACCAAACACTTACCTCTTAATATTTGCGCTAAATATTTTTCAAACTTTACGCAGTCCCTAACATGACAATTATTGATATTTAAATAGTTACTATTCTCTATGACCTTGGCTAGAGTGCTTTCTTTCTTGTGGTGTCAGATTGTTATTTTTATATAGATTTTATACTTAAGCACAATTCAATCAAAATATTTATACATATGCATGACTATTGAATTGATATTAAATCATATTTTCATACAATATATATATTAACTTATTTGTGCTCTATATCTAAAGGGCTCACAAATTCACATGATTTCCTATTTTAAGGAATCATAGTTCCCATTTTGTAGTAACTTTTTATTCTAATGTTTCTTACCAATCAAGCAGTCTAAAACTATTGAATAGTCAAAGGTTTTATTTAAAAATATTAACCTCATGTCAAAATTTTACTAAAAATATTAATCATTAAAGTTATATTGAAAATTAAAATTGCATAAACAAAATATTGTTTCAATAACCTACAAGTGATCCAAGCAATCTGCCCTACAAAGAACGTGTGGTATGAATAACGAAAACCAATTAACTTAAATAACATTTTACTCTTAATACATTTGTGACTGCATACAGCATATTCTCTCAAAGTAAGGGTAGTTTCTGGCAACTAATTTTTATTGCTTTCAGCTCTAGAAGTGTTTGTCACTCTTATTAAGCTTGTCCAGTTCCACAAAGGAGATGTCGTCGTCTGTTAGGGCGTCTTTTTCTAAGTCTTGAGTAATGCTGCTATTGGCTGAATGACCGTCATCTGATCTCTCCAGGCCATTGGTTGCATCCTAATAGACAAATTGTCATATTAATTTGTACGAGACAAGAAACATTCAGGCCCAACCTTGTATATGGGCTGACTGGGCTATAGAACAGTGTGCTAAATATTTATGGGGACAAATTTCCGACAATATTACTGTATTTTCATTTTTTACCATATTGCCATACCACGTGTTTTTGTCGTGCTCGCACATAAAAACACAACTTACTGGGCTAGTAATATACTATTTCCTACAGTCACCCGACAAAGTGTGCTTCCTTTAATTGTACTGATTTTTCCTTTTTTTCTTTCAATCTTGATGAGAAAGCTGCTAATTGCTCCATTTACTTACTTTGCACACACATTTTACTTTGTCGCACAGTTTTTACTCTGTTCCAGACCAGTATTCCAACTAAACAACACAAAACTGTGCTTTTATTATGCACATAATCCGTGTATGCTTAGAAATAGGTTGGCAACACTTAAAGATATTACACCTACGATCATATGGTGCACCGTTTACCATTTCATTCAAGGTTTGTATTTAACCTAACCTAAAAACGTGTTATACAGTATTTGAAAGACTAATTATTCATACGGTACTAGCTGTTACCCACGGGCTTCACCCCGTTTGACATCATAAGTATAAATAAAACTATTGATTGGTTGAGTTAACCTGAAATAAACAAACAAATAATCACACCTGATTTTAATAAGGTGATAAATTGAAAGAATAAGAAACAAATAAGTACAGCTGAGGTATTTTTAACATTTGGTATATGAAAAGTTCCCTTTAGTAAGGAATTACAACCTTAAAGGGCAATTTATGAAATAATGGATAGTTTTGCGCATGGTTTCTCGTCATGACAAACATCTTAAGTATATGGTTTATGGGTGTGTGACTTGTAGTTTTCTCAAAAGTTCATGGGTACTTTTGGCTTTATATGTGATGTGGAAAGCGAAAAGGGACCTCTTGTCGGCAATGCAAAATGTTCAGTATGGCCGATATAAGTAATTAAGGTCGAAAATATTGAAATTCGGGTTTTTATCGATTGTTATACCTCATTTATCATAGAACAGGACAGTATCGGTGAAAAGATCGAATTGAAGACATAAAAGGTCGAAACAAATCATTTTGTTAGCCTCTGCACGGTCTGAGAAAAGGTACCTCTTGTCGCTCAATGTTATTTTGCCATAACGACAAGAGGTCCCATTTCTAATATTCACTTTTTAAACAGATTTTAGGCCAAAAAATGAATTGTCCTGCATTCTAGAGAAAATTTAGAGAATTACAACAAAGTTCAGTTTACGGAGAACAAAATATCTCACAAATTTTGTGGTCCCGATAAGAGGTACCTTTTCTTATCTTATGGAGGAATAACATAGGGCCGACCAGAGGTCCCTTTTCTGAAATGTAATTGTTATGACATGCTTCTATAAAATAATTATTTAAATGAAAACTACGAGGGTTAAGACAAAAATTGGTTTTGCCTCCAAAGAGGACACTATAAGCTTTCTTTTAAAACCAAAATCTCTTCTTAAATACGAAAAAACTGTTTTAATGTGTACTTGAAATTTTCAAAAGTGTTTATCTTGAAATGACCTTTTTCAATAACAAAGTTCCAAAGTCCAATAACTTTAACAAAAAAAATCGCAGATGGGACTTGCACCAAGTTATTCGGAATTTAATAAGGAATACAAATATGTCGTATATAACTCAAAATCGAAAATTTCCGACAAGAGTTCCCTATTTGCTTTCCACATCACATATATTTATAGTTACTGTAGGAGAAATATAATGTGTAACAGAAGTGCTAACTGCCTTTGCTGCACTTGAGAAACTTTCCCATTTGCCTACGGCTCATGCGTAAACATTTATCTCGTGTTCACTTCGCCTACAAGCTACACAAATAACTGTTTCAAATAACAATTTTATGTACAACTTTAGCAATACAAGCACTTGCTGAACTCACTGGCCTGGAGGTTTCTACCGGAGGTGGTGGTGGAGGTCTCTTTTTCCGAGCCTTAGGTCGAGCTCCGAGCACGCTTACTTCAGTCTCTGACTCCGGACTTGTCGGGGAATGATCATCAGCTTTGGTTTGGTTCTCAACGTCCAAGTTTAGCGGAAGAGTTAGACGTCCGTTGAGCTGTGGAGACTGACTGTCTTCGTCTGCACTTTTTGCTGGAAAATAAACCAAAGGGTGAAATGAACACTGACAAGTATCCATTATAATAGATTTTAGATAGATAGAATAGAGAAAACTTATTACTGGAATTGGATCACCACTTTAAAGTGTGTATTTAATCTCTAGAATAAGGGATGTGTGTCAAATGGCCATTCTATATATCTGGGTTTGTAATATATTTCAATAGGTATTTAAAGAATCATTTGAAGTCATATCTATTGGTTTTAGTAAAATCATGTCATGGTCTTAAAAATCTCATCAGTACACTTTGTTCAAAGGGTATAGTCAATGTATCTTTGTATTACTCCTCTAAAGCTCATCAATAACTAACAAGGTTACATGAATTAGGAGTGCTTTTAATCTTTCAAAACTCTATACATACTTGTAGTATCAATGTCTATCTAAATCCAGTGATTTGTGTTTAATTAAAATTGTTAATTGGTACTTTTTCAAAAGAGAAGAAGCTTATTAATTGTTTGAAGGTGTAATTGTTTTGCTGTATTTTTTCATGTTATGTATTTAAAACACACCTGAGGCGTTTTTGGATAGGTGAAAGACTGAAACCCTAGTCAATTGAAGGGTTGAGACCTAGTTAGAAAATAATAAGACATTAGTAATACTACAAGAGTCGGATTGTCAAATGTTTTGACAGACCTAATCCGTTATGGTTATCAATTTTTAAAACTGAAGTAGACATCCTAGCTATATGTACCAGCTGCAGCTTGTTTTCAGTATTTTTTACTCATAAAGAGCATAGTGACATGAATCATTCACAGAGAATGCCAGGGCCGCTTTAGTAAATGGGCTTGGTGGGTTTGGGCCCAGGGGTGCAAGAGGTTGAACGGTTTTTTGGGGCGCAAGGGAGAGGAACATTTCCCCGCGATGAAGAGTGGAGGGGGCGTAATTTTCTCTCACGCCTATAGTACATAACATGCAAACTGCGGGCTTGGAGTGCGCTACGATTTAAAAGTAGTAATTTGCAATGTAAAATATTTATAATCATTGATTAGATGATAAATATATTTTAGTTTGCAGAAGTTACTTTTAAGTAGCAAGAAGTAGATAGTAATTTTCTATGCCTTAAGATAGGTAGACCCAGCCTGTCATGTTTAGCCTACTTACTCTCTTGCTCTTGAGTGCTGATAGACCTCGAGAAGACTTGTTGTCTAATCTTCTCCTTGAGTTTTGGTGAGATGATGCGATAGTTGAAGTCCTCATGAAGACTGTTGCTTCTCGGTTGTAGACTTGCTTCTCTGTACGATGATGAATGTTCCAGTCTTTTCTTCTTTTTGGTGGCAAATTTCTCCACTGCCGTTTTTAAAACTGACAGCCGCCTTACAAGCTTCCCCTTAGGTGAAATGTTCAGAGCTGACCTGAAAATAATGTTTTGATTTAGTCGAGATCCATTCAACACTGACTGAAGATGAGTGTTGAGATTCTTGATTTGTTACTGACTAGGATCAGCTGGTCCTTGAGCCAGGATTGTTTTAAAAGTCCAATGGTCAGAGACCCTAGACACCTGGGTCAGAGACCCTAGACACCTGGGTCAGAGACCCTATAGACACCTGGGTCAGAGACCCTAGACACCTGGGTCAGGGACCCTATAGACACCTGGGTTAGGGACCCTATAGACACCTGGGTCCAGTTTTGAGCCGTCAAAAAGCTACCGTAAATTGACATAGGACGTAGGTAACTGTGTGTATTTGAACCCGAATACAAGTAAGGCTCAGTGTAGAATGCAGTGAGATGATCTGTGTAGTTTTGTTACTGAGTGAGATCAGCTGTAACGTTGGCCAGGATAATACAATTAAAAACTGTGTTAACAAGAACAGCTGGATCCAATTTTAAAACATCAAAAAGCTACAGATTTTTCTAAAACACTATATCCATTCAATTACCCAGCTATCTATTGTAAATTTGTTGCTTATATTGTTGGTCGGTATTGTTAGCCATTTGTGCCTTGCACCACTACCACATTCCAGGAACACTGTGACCTACTTTTTGCCATCCCTCACCCCCTCATTTGGTCTAACTACAGTTTTTTGACAAGTACTGGTAAATTCCCTCACGTTTTGAAAGTAGGTCATTAAGACTGTATACTATGAGTCACCCTGAGGTTTGTAAATTAATTTTTATTGTTCTTGTAAGTTTTGGCTGGCTAATGTTTTAATTCATTATTATCATTGACATTAAATTGTTAAGAGAAACAAGAGTCAGCCCTCATTAATCTGTATTGATCAAGATTGTCTGATCGAACTTTGAGTTTCTCTGCAAACAGAAATTTGGATGATTGTCATTTAATCAGTTCTAAAATCAGATTTAGTTAAGCTACAATTAGTTGTCTGACTTCTAATTAATACAGAGTTTTTTGACATTAATCATACATAATGAAGTGTTTTCAAATGTTAAAAGAACAGTACACCTGTTGCTCGAATTCGAGCAATTGCAAAGTATTACAGGTGTTATTTCAAAACGAATAACAGTCAATTTCTGATGACTTGAAAGAGTCAACTCAAAGATAATGTAATACACTCAGCTCCAGTTATCGAAACTGAAAACGAACTCACTGAAAACGAACGTTCTTGTGTGTATCATGTGTTTACTATGAACAGCTGTGATTATTACAAATTAGTCGTAAACAAAATCTTTTCATCATAAGAAATACATTGGGATTTTGCTGGCCTGTGGGGCAAAGCCCGAGGACTTTTATGAAAGGAATTAGTGAAAGGGGGCGTCTACACAAAAAGTACTTAATTTTGACACATCGTTTGTAAAAATCTGTCCATTTAATAACAGAGGAGTAGTGTTTTGTAGAAAACACCTTCACGTATTATATATAAGGATAATAATATGTATCTGTGGCAAACTACTGTCAAATAAACATAATTTGCATAATTCTTTTTTTGGGATTATTAGTTTAATTCAGTATTAATTGAATTGACTTGATAGAATTACAGTCATTTGAAATTGACACTGCAGTCACGTAGAAGAATCTAGTGATATCTCTTATCACGATTGCAATGTGACAGATTTAGACCAAAGGTCACCTCACCTTGCAAACAATGGCTTGATTGCAAATATCAGCTGTTGAATCTCACATCAACAATTACAATAGCAAACAAGAAAAACCACAAACAGCACAACAACTATGCAATATTATAGCACTGGTACCATGAAAATTAAGTAATATTATGTTGACACCTTCAGATAAAATGTTTGCAATCCTGCACTCGACTTCGTCTCGCACAGGAACGACCACACTCGTCCGGTAAACCCCTTTCAGGACTATTTTCAAGGAATGATGTAATATTCTATTAAAATACAGTAAGCTGAGTAACTATTTTATAAACAAATATATAGTAAACAACAAAACACCCTCTCATTCTCATTCTTGAAACTTTCATTAACTAAAACTGATCTGCAAGGGTGATAAAAATATAAGCCAGAAATTTAAATCTATGGCCTCACTCCCTAGACATTCTCTTTGTGCAAATTTCCAATATAGGCAATAAGCTAAGGTCTCATGGTAAGACCTAGTCCCATGACCTCTTTACTTTTTTGTTTTGAGGTCCCCAGAGAACTCATTGAGCCTAATTACATTAACCATGAGTTAATTTCAAGTCCTGAGATTAAATTCTTTATTTATAATTCAAAAACAAGAAAATTTGTTCAGGTTTACAACAGGTGTATTTATAAATAAACTGTGATATATTTTATACTTTATACTTTTTATACTTTCTTATGAAATGGCGACCATACTATGTAGGTATTTTAAGCCAAGTATGAATGGAGATGAGTGTAGGATGAGTGGCGCGATCTTGTTTTGCAATGTCAAACCTGAAAATTTTCAAAGTGGTAACATATCATCCCACTTGCATCATTGAACAAAAATGTCCCATGACCTCTTTACTTTTTTGTTTTGAGGTCCCCAGAGAACTCATTGCGCCTAATTACATTAACCATGAGTTAATTTCAAGTCCTGAGATTAAATTCTTTATTTATAATTCAAAAACAAGAAAATTTGTTCAGGTTTACAACAGGTGTATTTATATAAACTGTGATATATTTTGCAATGTCAGCCCTGAAAATTCTCAAAGTGGTAACATATCATCCCACTTGCATCACTGAACAAAAATGTCATTTGTCATGTTTAAATTGACACCGATATAATAAGGTTGAGTGCAATGATGCACATTTACAGCACAGGGTCCTTGAGGAGATAAGCTATGACTCCATGTGATAAAATTAACAGAGCGCTCAAACATATGGTTATCTTTCAGCTAGTCAAATATCTCTCCTCTTATCTCCTATGACTTCAGCAGTCAGCTTATTCCTGATTGATATTCCCACTTCTCAGTCTGGGTCGTAAAACAATAATTATTGACTATATACTGCAGTCTGAACCATTTGGAAGTTGAAGAAACAAGACAATTTTTATATTTAATATCAATGGGAAACTATGTGTTGGTATTTTTTTTTACTAGGCATGTCTGTTTGATACATGTTGTTGTGTCTGGTAGATGGTTTATGACTAATGACTTACACAAATAAATCATCAAATGTAATACCTGCATTGTATTGTGACATAGCCATCAGGCTTTTGGTTTTAAGTTGTTATTTATTTATTTATTATCATCACGGTACATCAAAGATAGGCAGGTGATTTGTCATCAAACTAAAAACTATTGTAACAACCATAATATTGAATACTTACAATTTCTTTCATTGTTGAAGGCAGCTTTGGGTCTCGTATATTAAACGAAAGGGATGCATTGCACGACGTCCAAGTGCCACGACGTCCAATAATATTTATTCAGTGCCACGACGTCCAAAACATAATTTTTGAGTTGTTGCACGACGTCCAAGTGCCACGACGTCCAAAAGTACAGTAACTGCCAAAAATATAGTCTTTCTACAAGCTTTGGACGTCGTGGCACTTGGACGTCGTGAAACAGCGCACTATAGAATTGTAAAAAAGTAACATTTGCACGACATCCAAAGTCGCTGCCAGTTGCACGACGTCCAAGTGCCACGACGTCCAATAAATATTTGACTGTTGCACGACGTCCAATATAGCTCAGCGCTGTTGCACGACGTCCAATATAGCTCAGCGCTGTTGCACGACGTCCAAGCTCCTTCATGATGACCTGTTACGATGACCGACTACTTGCCGAACAGTATTCTCTCGTGTAAAATGCTTATGGAACGTTTATTAGTTATATATACATGGGTATATGTTCTTGTTCAGAAATATATATACTATGAATATTTGAACCATTAATTGAAACATCATAAATAAAAAAAAAAACATAAAAAGAAAAAATAAACCAGGCAACAGTTGGAAAACTTTAAGGTTTACATGGTTTGAAAAGTGATGACATTTGGTTAACAACCGATTAACTTCTTTATGTTTGGAGTAACCTTTTAAATACTTATTTTTTTCAAGACTAGATGAATGTACATTGATCAACATGATCTTTGAAAACTATTTTTTATACCCTCATTTTAATTTTTACTAGTCTAAAGAATAGAATGCCTTTTTCGAACTGTTTTTTAGGCTTCAATTAAATGTTCTTATGTCGGAAACATGTTTATTAATAGTATTCACTTAACATTGACTTAATTTTATTTCAATAAATTTTGTGTTTGTGTTTTGCTACACCACTTATTAAATTTCAACCAATGAAAATATCATATAAATAAGTTGTACACAGGGTTCTTTTGTTTCCCCAACTCTAAAATACAACGCACATGAATTTAAAATGTTATAGGTTTAATAGTACTGTAGCGAATCGAATATCAATAAAGTTAACGTATAACAATAAATTTACATATTCCTAGATTATAATTGAATGTGTTTACGAAGGAACACCACAACCTAAAAATTCAACATTACAGTATATTTACTCAAGATTTATTGTTTTCAATAGCACAGTTGATGTTGCCAACTAGCGTGGGAGCGGAAGTCCTGATAAAGGCTGGTTCTCGGAAAATTAATAAACTTGTAGTTTGAATGAAACATTTTTTTTTATTTTGTACAGGATTCATGGGATCCTCAGCATCAAGTACAAACTGCAAAATGTGTGTCGAAGGTCTGATTAGACCTTCAGCAACTGATCCGTTTTTTACCTTCCTATAATTTATTCTTTTTCATGTTGTGCTTCATGTAACATACATAGACTAGAGGGCCACTCATGCCCTTGACAAATAAATTAACATTTTCGCACAAATACAAATCAATATCGTCATTAGACAAGAATTAAAAAATAAAATTTATAAACAAAACCTACCACGGCATATTCTTGAACAAGTATGCCTACAAACCTACGATAAGCATGTTTGTTATTATTATACTTAACCTAAAAATGCTATG